TTCACAAATGATTATACAAATGTCGAGCTATCGTCGCCGCCGCCGCTATCCAGAGTCGATAAACAATACCATCCACCACTTTTGCTATCATTCGAATTGCACACACAGTCACAGCGCGAACAGCCAACAAATATTCGTAATTTCAAAAGAACAGATTGGATAGCAATGAATAATTACTTCGATCAAATCAACTTTACCGAGCTACTTAGCGAAAAATCGCTTGATGAAAAAGTGGTGAGTCTTCACGATGTTATTGGTGAGGCAATAAACAAATTTGTCCCATGGCAACTCATACGTTCACATGAAAAGTGTCCATGGATTAACAAAGACCTTCGAGCGCTGAAGAAAAAAACAAAGAATGGAAAAAGTACAAAGTAACAGGTGTGAAAGAACCATTCATCCAAGCACATAAAAAATTCTCTGAACTCAATAAACAACTCTATGAGAATTATGTCGACAAAGTCACTTCATCGTTGCATAGTGATCCATCGTCGTTTTGTAGATTCGTCAACTCGAAAAAAAGTAGCGACAGCAATCCACACATTCTTCAGTTTGATGAAACAGTATCAACGGATAAAAATGAACATGCTCAAATGTTTGCAGATTTCTTCAGTTAAAATTTCACCGAAAACGCACAGCCACGAAATTCAATCAATATCAATGTGAATCAATCTCCAGCTCAAAATCAAATTGAACCATTGCAATTCAAAGTGTACTTTATTTTCGACGAGATGATGAAAATTGACACCACAAAAGGCATTGGTCCGGACGGTATTCACCCATTAATACTCAAAAATTGTTCGGCGCTGCTATGTAAACCGTTAACTATGATCTTCAACGAATCGCTATCTTGTGGCAAATTATCAGATTCATGGAAGCGCTATAGTGTTCGACCAGTATTCAAAAAGGGATCACGATTAAAAGTAGAAAACTATCGTTGCATAGCAAAACTACCCACTATAGCAAAAATTTTTGAATATCTGGTTAACATCCGATTAACACAGATGATTGAGAACGATATCACGCCGAGACAATATGGCTTCATGCGGAAACGCTCAACAAATTCAAATTTGATGGAATTTGTTCACTTCTCGCTGAACGCAATCCATGATAGCGCTCAAATCGACTGCTTGTATACTGATTTTACTTTTTCGCACGCCCATATCGTGAGTAAAAGTATTGTAATCACTCTAAAACCTAGGTACCCCGAAAAACCATTTTTCTATCCATTTTCGACACCAAAAAGCACGATAGAGTGGTTTTGCTATGTTAATGTGGGTGTGTCGTACCCTGTACGCTGTACGCTGTACGCAAAAATTTGTTAGCACGATGAAAAACCTTCAAAGAATCGAACTTTTGTTCGGGAGGTACCTAAAATAGGCTCCCAGGTGGATTTTATCACTCCCACTCGATTTATGCCATCAAAATAATAGGGGCCAACGAATAACCTAGCACCCGCTAACCCACCTTTTTTTGTATCAAATCGGTATTGAATAGTAATTCTGATAGCGAATGTGATAGCGCCTCTGAAGTCTCATTTATTCTCAACAATGTGGATTTTCCCGAGTCGGAAGAGGATGGATTTTGCTACGAAATCGGAGACTTGTCTGTAACTACGAAGAATGAAGATCTCGAATCAATCACAAATCAAATTGTTGGAACAGAATTCTTAAATGATTTGTCAATCGATATGTTCATTATAAATTTGGTGAACGCAAACAGAACCATACCATTCAACATGCATCCAGTCTGCTATGGACAAAAACAAGAGCGATACAAACGACTTCTAGCCGAACGAGACGATCTGCATATACAGCGGCCAGGCCAGTTTACACGGGGACTCCCCGTCGGGGAGGGCAATCATGGCAAAAGATTGGACGTATATCAACGAAACATCCTCACTCGCCTGTATCCCGGAGCCAGGGGGTTTGTAGATTGAAACACAAGCGCACTAGCGCCGCAGTTTGCCCTACAATATCATATACGGCAAGCTACAGAACTATTCATTCAGTATATATCATGTAGCTCAACTGTCAATCTGTAATCCCCCTGCCCGGAGCACAGTATCAAATCATCGAACCGGCAACGTTGCAACCAGATGGATGTTCCTGTGGCATTTTCTCGATTACATACGCCACAACCATCATTTTGGGACACAACCCCGCAACATACCATCTAAAAACCAATCAGCACGAAACAGACAATTTAAAAAAGACCAGCGAACTACGAAACCACATCAAAAGAATATACGAAACAAACTACAGCTGTTTCCACAATTAATAATACACACATTTTTGTTTTTGTCTAAGTTTTTGGATACTTGTTTTCATGTTGCATCGCAATAATGACCAATTGATTTCGGTTTGGTAACTTTTGTCTAATTTCATCAAAAAAGAAACAAAAAAAATTAGTTCATTCAACTTCCCAAGAAAAACCAATCAAATTACTCTACGCTAAAATGATGCCAAGCTTAAGTAGTTCAATTTATTCTAAACTGTTTAGACGCCCGCCAAGTTAAAAATATATTGAAGATTCGGCGTAACTTCGGTGTGGAATCAATTTAATAACCTGAACTTAAATTATCAATATGCAACGCCACCTATATGTTAAGTTAAAAATATACTGGACAAACGGTGTAGCTTCGGAGTAATTCAACATAAGTTGAATACATATATTTGTATTACAAATAGTATTGAACTTAATTTATTCCACACCGAAATTACGCCGAACCTTCAATAGATTTTTAACTTGGCGGGCGTCTAAACAGTGTAGAATGAATTGACCTACTTAAACTTGGCATCATTTTAGCGTAGAGTAATTTGATTGGTTTTTCTTGGGTTGCTTATTAAACATTTTGTCGAGATAGCTTATTATTTCCGTCCACATTTTTTGATTTAATTAAAACCAAAGTTCATTCTCCAAATATTTGACTGATTTGCAGTTTCCGATTAAAGTTCAGTTTTTTCAATACTTGATTATTTTGCATTTTTGAAAGAGAGTTGAATAAAGTTTCAGTATTCAGACGACAATAAAGACAATCAGACGTTTCATTTCATTTCATTTGAATACCCAACATCAAGATTTCCGGAATCATAATACAATTTTACATAAAATACATGAACGTACTTTTGTTTTTTTCTGAAAATTCTTATAAATTTCCTAGGCAAAATCTGGATAAAAGCTGAACGCTATGAAAACGGTGCGGAAAAGTTCGTCTTACAGAAGTAAGACTATTTATCCTTTGATTTTATTTCGTTCATTGCGACATTGGAAAGGTCTTGAAAAGTAGATGTCATTTTTGATATAAAACATTAAAATCGGCCGGCATTTGGCCAAGATATGGCCTTTTGAAAATATTGGCAAACATTTTAAAATTCTTTATTGCTGATCTAATTTCAACGCTCTATGCGCCATTAAAAAGGCCTTGAAAAGTACATATCATTTATGGTATAAAACATCAAAATCGGCCGGCATTTGGCCAAGATATAGCCGTTTGAAAATTTTGGCCATTTTATACCATAAATGATATGTACTTTTCAAGACCTTTTTAATGGCGCAACGCAAAATTAGATGGAATTGCCAGGTGTTCTGATTTTTTGGCCTGTACTGTATGTTTAAAAAAAATTGTTAAGGTACGAATTCGGGTCTATAGTTTTTTCATATTGTCCGTAGCCAAAATACCAAAATATGGTCATTATATGAGCGCAGCAGCCAGCTGTGCGTTGCCCATGTTGGCATTCACAGTAATGCAAAATTCTTTCAATGTCAGCAGCACTTGAATCGTATAAGATATACGAATTATGTGTTTTTTGGCTGCGAAACCGCGATTTAATTTTAGCCGAACATTGGCTTATCGATTTTTTTCTTTGTACAAATACTGCCAAAGTGAGCATATACATGTTCTTCGAATGAATATTTTGAATTTTCCATCCAATTTTTTATGCTGTGCGGTATACGAAATGGCTTGTTTGATGGCATAATTTCCAAGTGAGAAATTTTTCAATTGTTCTCGATTCAATCTTGGAAAGTTGATCTGGCTTGCTTCAACCGATTGGAAGTAAAGCCGTTCGGTTCGCTTGAAGGACTTTGATTGAATTGTATTTGTCAGCTCATTTTTCATGTCGAGTAAACCAATCATGCGCGAGCCTATATTAGAAAAATTGTCTTTGTCGCAAATAATTGGTTTACCAAAAGCATTCAGAAGTGCTGAACCTATTTTATAATCAGGCATTAAATGTGGCGTGAGGATCGATGGAATTACTTTTCTAAAAAGATTCCATTTGCTTTTCATTCTTCCATTAGTAACTTCGATTGCAAAGCGCATTTTTGTTAATAAGCGGGATTTATTTCCTTGCCTCGCCGTAAGCTGACCGTGTGTGCCTTTTGCAATAAATTCCGGCATTTTAACGATAAATTTTTTGTTTTTTTTTTTAATAATAATAAACCAAGTTCTGGTTGTTTATTGAATAATATAAAGAGTGTTTCCAAAATAACAGTATGATATATCTACATTGTGGTGAAATTCGTATTATATTGAGTAGTATTGCACAAATGTGAAAATACGCTGTCATCAAGTGACGATAGCTTATTTTTAAATGAATATCTTGATAAATGACTTTGAAATAGATCAGGTACTTTGTTCGCGTATTTACACATTTGGTTTATCGGAATATTATCAAAGCGTCGAAAATGCTCGCTATTTACAATAAATAAATTCTTCTTCCTGAGATTTCTTACATTATCATTAAATAAAATTTCATTTCTCAAAAGTGGACAGTGAACGTTGCCATTTAACAAATCATACACAAACATTAATGCTGAGTTTATTCTCCGACGTTGTAGCGATTTCATGTTTAATGTGATTAGGCGTTGGGTGCTGGTAATTGCATATTGGACGAGATAAGAGCCATTGAAAATTACAAAAATCCAGCTGTTCAATCTATTGATACTGTTCACGATGAATGTAAATGTATTCTTCTCCCAGATATTGGCGAAGAAGTGAAAATAACTCTCGTTTACGTAGTAGACGCAGAGCGGATTTTTGTGCATCTTCAATATTGGAGCCAAAAATTCGCTGAAATGACCACGAAAATTAAGCTCTTGAAACCAAATCAAATAGTGGAAATTCCAGGTAAGGAGCATTATAAGATAGAATTTCAATTTTTCAATTTTTTGCTAAGGGAATTGATTATTCAAATATCGGTAGAAAAGTGTAAGCAAAATATAGCAAATACGGCCAATATGACCAATATTTAAACATATGAATGACCTTTCAAGTTGAAAATTTCAACCGAGACGATAGCTATAACTATTTACTTGTATATTTGCATAACAGAGAATCAGTTCCCAAAGCCCCTAGATTTTTTGACTCAGATCCGTCTTGTTCTACAATCTTCTAATTTATTTCAATTCCATATCCATAATTTAGAGCCGGGCCAAATGATTTTGGCAAAATACACTGAAGATGAACAACTGTACCGCGCCCGTATTGAAAAAGTAGAAAACCGGTCTGCTACGGTACATATTCATATGACATACAGTGCCGTGCAAAAGTTTGAGTACGACTATAAAATCCATATTTCAATGTCTTTTTGTCCCATTCAACCCAAATAAGGGTTTTAATCTGATAGCCTATTGAAATTCAGACTGAATGAAACATTTTGAGGACAAAATTTTGCCGGCTTTTGGCCATTTTTGGCTATTAATAAATGGCGGCCAAAAATGAGTTTTTTAACGGGCCAACGGATCAAAAAGTAATGTACATCACTGGAAAGGTCTTGAAAAATAGATTTCATTTTTGGCCTCAAACATCAAAATCGGCCGGCATTTGGCCAAAAATGAAATCTATTTTGAAATGTTGTCCTCAAAATGTTTCATTCAGTCTGAATTTCAATAGGCTATCAGATTAAAACCCTTATTTGGGTTGAATGGGACAAAAAGACATTGAAATATGGATTTTATAGTCGTACTCAAACTTTTGCACGGCACTGTAAATGCTTTTCTTTCATTTTAACACGTGATATGTCCATTTTCGTAATAATATAATACTAGAACAATCAATTTATTTTCGGTCAATCAATTTTCTGTGGTTCATCTACCTTTTTCCACGATTTCTTTCGGACGATATTACGTATTAAAATAAAAGAAATATTTAGAGCTAAACTGAATATAAAATAATAAACTGAATATAAAATAATCAAACAGGTCTTCTATGTTGATTTCGGGAATGAAGAAAACGTTGATATAAATTCACTTTTCGAATGGTCGCCAACTTTGAATGTTCTACCACATCAAGCAATTCCCTGTAATATTAACAAACACGAATTTATTCCAACATCAATTAAATGCAGAATTATAGATAACTTAGAAAAATGTATTAACTCTAACTGGTTCAACGCAAAAGTCACGAATAATAATAATAATATCTTATGTATTGATATAAATGGTTGGTATCAATATTTTAATCATGACCTTTGCGATGAATTTTGGTCTTAATGCGGTCGCAGCTACGGTCTTGCTTTTAGAGGTGATGGAAACGGTTTGGTTGAATTTCAAACTAAATTAGAATCAAACGAATCATTTAATGAACCGGGTATTAAAGTATTTGGAAGTGATGATAAAGATCTAATAGAATCATCCGAAATTGCTTTCAAATGCGTCAAAAATTGGCTGAAAATTCATTATGCGTCCAACAAAACACTAGAACATTTTAATGTTTTAATTGAAATCCATCGAACTGCGATAAGCAAGAAGGGTTGCAGCGCCGGTGTTCAAATAACTTTATCTATCTTATCAGTCGTCCTTAAGAAACCAATTAAAAAATACGTTGTATGTACCGGTGAAATCACTACTAACGGTGCAATTCTTGCAATTGCCGGCAAAGTACGGATAAACCTTAGCACTAGCAATCTGTGCCATTTTTCATGAGGCGTCTCCACTCGCATTGAGTTTGTATTGTGAATGTTAAGGTGCGTGCAACGCCCTTCAATGTAAAAAACAATACAAGTGGAGATGATACACGGGATTTATCTGTACTTTGAAAAAGCGGTAATTGCAAGAGCACTTGGAATAAAAGCATATTTCCCTGAAGAAAATAAAAATGCAATAAATTCGAAATTTCCTTTAGATTTAGCAAGAAATATATCGTATGTGAGTGACATAAATGATGCCGTCTATGCTATTGCTCAAATGTTTAAAGATATACAATAAAATGATTCATAATATTCAGTTGACAATTTTTCATTCAGTTAAATATCGATATATTACAATAATAGTGATTTCAATCGAATAAACGAGACTAAAAAAGAAAAAAAATCTGGTAATGAAGTTAAATTGAACAATATGCAAAGTGCCATTCAAAACAGATTGGCAAAATATAAACGAAACAAATCATCATAAACCCATTAAAAACAAAGAAAAAAATAAAATTAAAAAAGGCATACTGTTAAAATAATACCTCAAAATCAAGTTGAGTGATAAAGATCCAGCTTCACATCTAAACGATTTTTTCAACGATATCACCTAAATTGCCTTACACTTTTCTATTCTTTTTTCAAAACATTGTGAGATTTAAAAGAAAATGCTACAACACATTCAGTTGACAATTTTTACATTCAGTTGAAAATTTTCCAGTTTTTTTTTTGTTAAAAAAAACGAGTGTAACATAATAACTATCGATATATTTCAGAGAAAAAAAAGCCATAATATAAGCAAAACTAGAAATAGAAAAGAGAAATATACTCATAAAAATCGAGTGATTATAAAATATAAAAAAAATGTTGAACATTGACTAAACAAAATATTTGAGAATAAATGTAATTTACTACCGTTATAAGGGTGTTCATGTATAATACATTTGCCTAAAGAAAGAAATTCAAATTCAAAGCATTAAATCGAAGCAACCCGAGCATTTTCGTATGATTGTAAATGGGTATTGTTTGTTTGACAGTTCTGTTATTTCTTTCCGAACATGCATTAAACTCTCTCTCCTTTTCTTTCTGTATTTCTCTATCTATACGCTCAACGCACACAAACATGCGAACGCACGTATACGGTACAGTGAAGAGCATCATCGATCTAGTTATTGCATGAACACTGACCATTCAACCATTCAGTTCGATTTTATGCGCAGATAAATACAGTTAATTCAACGTCAAACAGAATTTCAATCGGCACACAAGTTCAATTTTTCAGTCTATAATATCAATTTTTCAGTAATATTCATTAAAACAACCAATTTGCTTTGATTTTCCAAAAACAAGACGTACAAATGGCGCAGACGGCTAATTAAAAGTGGAAAAATTCAGACTTGTTGGGAGAAGGTAGCTTTGGTCGAGTGTACAAAGTGAGTTTTTTTTTCTAAAGTAGTGAAATATTATGCAAAAAAATTATTAATTATTTCCAATTAAACGGAGAGAGAGTTAGTGAAAACTAAAAAATAATTCTGAATATTTTTTTTCAATTTTTCTTAAATAAGGGTGTTTCGATGAAGAGTGGTGAAATCGTGGCCATCAAAACATTTCAGTTTACTACAAAATTCTATATCGACAGAGAGTTTAAAACAATGCGAGAATGTGACCACGAAAATGTCGTGAAATTATTTGACCTACAAGAGATCAAAGGTGTGATGTCTGAACAAAAAGTTCTGGTTATGGAATATTGCGATTGTAGTAATCTTCAAAATTTGATTGATTTGAAGCCATTGGGGCTAGATGCGATTGATTTTCTTCACTTTTTTCAACATTTAACCAGTGCAATTAAACATTTGCATGATCGTAACATTGTGCATCGAGATGTGAAGCCAGATAATAGTTTACTTGCTCATCACGAAGGTCAAATTATATTTAAATTGGCCGATTTTGGTGCAGCACGCTTTTTGAAGCCGCATGAATCATACGGTTCATTGTATGGCACGTTCGAATATTTGCATCCAGACATTTTCGCAAAATTCTATGCGCATGATTTAAATTTCCTACCACCAAAACAAGCATTTAATTACAATCATGAACTTTGGTCTCTGGGTGTGACCATTTTTGAAGCAGCGACAGGACATTTACCGTTCGAACCGAAAGAAGGTCGCACTAATCCAAAAAAAATGTATCACATGATCGCCGATAGCTGTGCCATATTCGTATCTTAATAACCATCCTAATAATTTTGAGAGATTATTGAGATCCGATCATAATACCGATAAATCTTAATAACGCTATCAACTTTTTATCAGGTTATTAACTATATTCAAATAACCTTACCGGATGAATCTTAATAATATCGTTTTGAAGATATTAAGATCGAATCCTGATAATTTATCAACATTCAATCTTAATAATCATTAAGTTCTGGAAGTGGGTTTTGGTGGATCCTCAGGATCGACCAGAACTGCTCCCAGTTCTGGAAGTGGATCTTCAGGGTGGGCCAAGGGCAGTGTCAAACCGGATCTGGTCCAAATTAACTGTGCAAATTAAATAAACCCGTTACAATATATGTAAAATTTCATTACAAAAACACCGAAAATTTTTGATAAAAAACTACATAGTTTTTTTAAGTTAAAATATTTTGAAATTTCCCTACAGAAAAACTGAATTTTTTTTATGAATATCACCGAACTTTATTTTAGTTAGAATAATTGAAAAATTTTGCTATAAAAAACTGGGATTTTTTTATGAAACTTGAGAATTAAGGGGGGAAAAGAGATATCGGACGTTCTTGACAATTCGAATGATCATTAATGGTTATTTCGTTGTTTCTGTTTGGAGGAAAAAAGTATTTGTCCCAGATCATCGTGACACGAATTTTTTCTGTGTTCATCAATATTAATCAAAACGAATTTCTATAAACATATGTTCAATGTATATTATAGATTATAGTCTTCCTCATAGATGAAAAACTGGTCGGAAATGAACACATCATGATATTTTCCCATTGATCTGATTTCATTCACTTGGATTGTATTGAAATTGGTGAACTGGACATCATCCAAGAGCTCAAGATCCACATTTGAGTGCAATTTGCACTACAGATTTACATTTTCGATATGTTATCAATATGTTATTGCCCGACATATTTATTATTATGTTATGTTGGGATTTTTTTATCTTAATAACGTTATTAAGATTCAGCATAATAATAACATAATATGTTATGCGTTGTATCGGGTGTTATCTTAATAAATCCTAAGATTCGGCGGTAATAACATTTTATTAACTATAATAATAACATATTATTAAGATGGATTTATTAACTCGATTAATAACATATTATTAGGTTTGGATTTTATTAATTCAATTAATAACATATTATTAAGATGCAATCTTAAGAACGCTTTTTTCGCGCATTCTTTTCCCTAGCTGGAGAGAAAAAAAGCACTGTACGATGTACACACCTATAACAATGCAGACAAAATATGGTAAATTGGTCCTTTCAAGGTCGGGACTGGCGATTTCCTAAACTTAATGATTAAGTTCAATACATGATAATTCCGTTTCAAAGAGTCATTTTAATTTCATTGCAACAGTGCAAAAAATTCATGTGTGTACTCCGCAGAGAAAAAACAACTTGTCAGTGCTCCGGCGAAAAAAATGCGCGAAAAAAACGTTATTAAGATTGTATCTTAATAATATGTTATTAATTGAGTTAATAAATCCA